GCTTTGTCTTCTTTCCTGGATCTATGCTTTAGTTATCAGAGAAAACTACACTGAGGCCATCAATTTCTGGCTGTTCTATCACTGATAACGACCTGTTCTTTTATTTGTTGAGAGGATCGAGGTCCTTCGATGTAAGGAGGATGTAACATAGAGGCAAAGGTGGCTCTTGCACGCGCCAAACACAGAAAGTCTTGGACATATTTTCAATATTTTAGTCAAGATTGAAAAAAAGGAAAGCTAGCTACTGAAAGTTCTGTTTTGTGCCTGCAACGTGGGATTTCAAGCGAAAGACTGCTTATGAGAGATTCTGACTTTCCCAAGACAATGGATATAGTTCTTATCTGTTTTCATTCTGTGTCATTTGCTTATGAGCACTCTGCCACATGGATAAGTTCTCCTTCCCTGTCTCCTCTGATACCCATGTTACATTTTTCTTGGTAGACTTTTTTTCTGTTTTCCTTTAGTCATCCCCCTTCAGGAAGGGAGCTATTTCATGTGTGTGGTTATATGCTTTTATTCTTTTAAAAGAGAGAAAAAGTTCCCTAAACAGACAAACCGATATTTTGAAGAAATTTGCCATGTGTTGTCATTCATAATACACATATGACCAGCTCTTTTTTTTTTTTTTTTTTTTTGGAAAATGTTGTATCTGTCAAGAGGAAAAAAAATCCCAAAAAATCATCCAGCTTTGAGGGAACTACAGTTTCAACCAGATACACGAAAGGGTGACAATTCATTCTAGCTTCCATTGCAAACGTATTTAGCAGTATGTCATTATTATTCCTCATCATAATTACTTCTAGCCTTATGGAATTGCCACAGCATGCAGTTCTGCAATCTTACCTACTTTTGTTGATATTTCTTTTTTTCGCATGGTACCACTGACTAATCTAATAGGTAAATACAACCTGAAGTGTACTTGCTGCAAAGTCATACCATTTAATAGTGAATTAGATATTCTGTCCACATTGTCAGCAGCCCAAAAAATTGAAAAAAAAAAAGCAGAACCAAACTACTAACTTTGTAAAACTGGCCACTAGGTCTAAAAATTGAGATGGACAATTGCTGTATTTCCTTTTAGCTACCATTGAATACTGCTTTGTTAATTTTTCATCAGGAGTTTAAAGAGTACATTTCTGACAGATCAGAGTAAAAATAGTCTAGGCAGTTTTAGTGAATAAACACAGCCAAACCTTTTATAATGTGGGGTTGTTTTTTTTATTAATGCCACACTTCCTGTGTTATAAACGAAATTATGGATACTTTATGTCAAATATAAACTCTTCTTTCTATTATGCAAAACATGGTCATAAAGTATAAACAGTAAAAAAGCCTGATAAAGTTGAAAAAGAAATTGCCAAAGCTGAAGTGGCTGTCCACATTTAGTAAAGAGCACAGGCAGACACCTAAAATTGCTATCAACTAGCAGTCACATAGCAGCTTCACCTCCTGGAATGACAGTTGTCAGTTACGTAGCATGTGCATGGGAAGGGCAGCAGGACAAAAACTTATCCAGAGTGACAACTGAACGTTAACTGAAGCACAAATGAATATGATGTCATTAGCACAAATGAATATGATGTCATTAGCTTGCAGGGTATCCTCCTTTTCCTAGACACTTAAGAGATGAAATGCTGAGTTTTCACACACAAGACAAACAGTGACAACGGTTTGGGGCATTGTATGTAAAGTATAAGCGATTCCTGAAGGTCAGAATAAACACTCCTAAATTGTTAGAAATTTCACGCAAATGCCATTTGGGCCTCAAGACTCCAGGCCAGTTCTGCAAGCATCTTTAAGATCTAGAGTTCAACATGCTACATGTGCCGCTGAGCACTCAAATGCTGTCACTGTGCCCAAACAGCCGTGGAATCCCAACCATGAGAAAGTCTGGAGATGGTCAGCTGGCTCCCGTGGCTTCTCCAAAAGGGACAGCGGGCGGGGGCGTGGGGGGTCAGCAGGGATTTGTGGCCCG